TATATATATATATATATATATATATATATAAAATATATATACACACACACACATACATACATACATATATACATACATACATAGCAAAAGAAATGTTGGGGTCACTTGTGGTCGTAACCCGAGGACCACCTGGACTTATAGACTTAACGGAACCAGCAAATGCCACCTTACCTTGGTTGCAGAGGGGACCAAAAAAACCTGGCAGGCAATCACATTGGCCTGTGACATGATGGCAGGGAAGTATGCTGTGAAGACATTGGGGACAAATCTGGTTGCAGTGAAGCCCGTAGAAACCAGGGGGACAAACTAAGGGAGAAAAAGGAATAAACAAAACTGTGGGTGAAGCTTAAAAGCAAGATATTAATCTCCCTCCATTACAATACACTTCGGAGGACTTCTTACAATTTCTTGGGATATAAGAAAGGTTATATAAAGAAGTTCTTATTTCGCGAGCGCCTCATTTAGTGACTGCTCAGTTGCAACGGCGATGAAAAGTAACTTGATGAGCCATCCTTGCACTGGTAGGTTTTGGAAGCTGAAATCAGATCAGAAATACAGTCACCGTTTCATTCAAGCAGCCGCTTCGCTGAACAAATAAGTTCCAATTGTGGGCACTAAATGAGGATGTGAATAAATAAAAAAGCAGAAATAATCTTTCTTCTTAGAGCTACTTTAGGAGGTAGATTAATTGTAGGATTTAATGAAGTAAAAACCAAATGTGTATGGGGTCTCAATTATGCCCCCACCCTTTGCACACGCGTGTGACATTGATGGACATAAAAAACAGGCAGGCCTTCAATTGCACGGCAACAATCACAATCCTGACTTTTTGAACTCCCCTGGGGGTGCTCGTTAACTGAAAATAAACTGAGAAATAGAGAAGAAAAAGTGAAATACTCCTAATGCTTATAACAGGAACATCCAAAAGTGTATTTAACATTGATAGAATATTGGCCTTTTCTTTCTCTGATTTATATTCAATACTGTAAAAGGAAAAGGTTCCCATTGCACATATGTGCTAGTTGATCCCGACTCTAGGGGGCAGTGCTCATCTCAGTTTCAAAGCCGAAGAGCCAGTGCTGTTCCAAGACGTCTCCGTGGTCATGTGGCTGGCATGACTGAACACTGAAGGCACACGGAGCACTGTTCCCTTCCCACTAAAGGTGGTTCCTATTTTTCTACTTTTATTTTTACATGCTTTCGAATTGCTAGGTTGAAGTTGGGACAGAAGCTGGGACAAGTAATGGGAGCTCACTCCATTACGCGGTGCTAGGGATTCGAACCGTCTAATGGCTGACCTTTCTGATCGACAAACAGCGTCTTAGCCACTGAGCCACCGCGTCCCTTTTATTCAATACTGTATGGCACCTAAATAACAGAATATGAACCTAAGCCAACTGTGCAAGTTATCATTGCCCTGAAATAACATTATATAAAAAGGATAGAGCCAGTTCTATTTTAACACTTCATGCATAAATTATAGTCTCTTCAAATGTCACTCATTTAATCACAATTCTCTATATAATATTCTCGTCTGATTTATTAGCCCTGTTATATTTTTAGCGATACTTTAGCACCTACTTCCGGTTGTGATGTTTTAACCAGCACAGACACACCTCGGGTTACAACGGCCCTTCGGCCAGCGATTGCTAAGCAATGTGGCAGTAAAGCACAACATTATATGATTGCAGCACCCGGCAAAAACAATCGTGGCAGAGTATTGATTGTCATGGTGGACCACAGGACCACACAGGTAGTTCCCGTATTTTTCGGAGTATAAAACGCACCTTTCCCCCCACCCCCAAAAGTGGGTGAAAATCTGGGTGTGTCGTATACATTGAATGCAGCATTTTTGGCCTCCCGAAACCCCACCCCCTTCACAAAAATGGATGTGCAGAGGGTTTGGGAGGCCTGCAAAATGCTCCTGAGAGCCGGCAAAAACGAGCCAAAAATGGGCCGTTTTTGCTCATTTTTGCCCCCCTAGCTCCCAGGAGCACTCTATAAGTCTCCTGAAGGCNGTATGTTTTAGCCTCCAGGCCCCTAATCCTCTTTGTTGCTCTTCTCTGCACTCTTTCTGAATTACAAACTCAAAGATGAGATTAGATTTTTTTAAAGCACTTCTAGTTGACTTTGAAGCATTAAAAGGTGTGCAGTCAATTACAGGTAGTCCCCAACTTACAACAGTTCATTTAGTGACTGTTCAAAGTTACAACTGAAAAAAGAGACTTATGACCATGTTTCATCCTTACGACCGTTGCAGCATCCTCATGGTCACGTGATTTACATTCGGATGCTTGACAACTGACTCATATTTATGATGGTTGCCGTGTCCTGAGGTCACGGGATCCGCTTTTGCGACCTTGTGACAAACAAAGCCAATATGGAAGCCAGATTCACTTAACAACCATGTCAGCTACACCTATTCACTTAACAACTATGGCAAGAAAGGTTGTAAAATGAGGAAAAATTCACTCAAGTATCTCACTTAGCAAAAGAAATTTTGGGCTCACTCAAATTCTGATTATGTAAAAATTGAATTTGAAGATGCATGTTAATTGAACATAGATGAATGAAATGATACACTGTAAGCAAGGTAATAGTATGTTTTAAATTAAGATGTGTATGAACTATACTAATACTTCTAAATGTGCAAAGTAATTCTGTTAAATACTGATCATATAAAAAAATTGAATCTGAAACCATCCAATAGTATTACATCTTTATATTGTATTCTGTATAAAATTCTTTATCTTTGGTTATGCATCCTCTCCTTAATCCTCATTTACAAATTATATAAAATTTCATATTATCAATAGTATATAATACTATTGGATGGTTTTAGGATGATGTAATGAAATGCCATAAAATAAATTTATTCTAAATTTAGAATATCTCACATGAAAGGAAGTAATCATAGTTATAGTCAAATAAATGTTTAATAATGATAATAGTTATATACATATATATTAGATTGATAATATCAGATTCTATATAAATTGTAAGTGAAGACTATGGTGAGGAAGCACAAAAGGTTTGTAACCAATCGACAAACTGTATGTAACTGGAGGATGGTTTTTATGTTTTATGTTTGTTTGTTTAAAAAAAATTAAAAAAAAATTGAATCTGAAGACATAAGTTGCTAATTGATAATAGATGAAAAAGAAATGACAAGTTGATCTATCTCTAAAGAAAAAAGGGAAAAAAAGTGATACTGTTTCTACAGGTTAAAAATTAGAAATTGGAGAGAAACAAGAAGAAAAGTAGTACGTCTAAAATTGGAAATAATGTAAAATGAATTATGTGTTTGGGGAAATGTTAAAGGGGGAATCCAGACAACACTGTTCACAAAAGAATTTTTTATCATGTAACAAAAATAAAACAAAACACTTTNACCTTTCTGATTGACAACCTCAGCGTCTTACCCACTGAGCCACCGCATTCCCCCCTTTTTTGAAAGGATGCTGAAAAACTGATGTAAACTTGCTGTCAACATGCCAACTTCAAGCCATAGTTGCAAAGCCAAAGTGCAAGGCCATTCCACCCGATAAGCCACAGATCCTCTGAAATGCCCATTTGTATTCCCCCAGTTTCCCTGTAGAAGGCCAGGAGCAGAGCAAACCTAATCTCCGGACTTATTCTCACGGTGCTAAATCAAGGCTGAGCTTTATGTCCGAACGCGGCTACGCTCTCAGATGAACTGGGAGCAGAAAATGCTCGAGGACAACAAGCCATAAATCATGACCACAACTCCTGAAACCTGGGGAATGATGTTTTTTTTTTCATATGCTGGAATGCTGGTAACCAAAAAATTATTACATAAATCCACCCCTGATTTACGGCTATGGATTATTGTTTGTCAACATTTTAATTAGTCTCCTTTCTACAGAAGGGCGAAGTAGAGGACACCAAAGTGATTTGGTTGTATGTCCCGGAACTCTTTTGCTGATGATATACGGTACATTCCCTGCGTATTTTTCTTCCTTTTTCTCCCATTTTATAATTTCATGTCCTACACAGATTGTTTACAGTGTTAATTGCTAGTTTAGACAATATGTTTTGTCAATATTTATATAATAACAGAAGACGAGTCTGATGTTGGGTTTTGCTTGGGGTTTCGTAACATTATTACGTGATTTTTTTTATTTGTTTCTTTAATAAAACACACAAAGAACATTCAGAATACTGGAACACCCCGCCGTGTTCTTATGGAAAAAGCTGTAAAACAGTCACTGGTGGTTGTTGTTTTTAAACATAGAAAAATTAACAGTTGGGTTCAACAATTTGTTAAGCGTGGTTGGGATGCCTAGGCGGAGTCTTTGCAAAATGATCTAGAAAGAAGAGGCAGAAGGATCAATCTAAATAACGGAGGGGCTCACATTTCTAACTTGGGAAAGGAGCAGACATGTCCAGCTTGTGGCCCACAGATAGCATGCAGCCCTGGACAGCAAGTAACATGGCCCCAGAAGATAGTAAATATAAGAAAATATACATTAATTGTATTATATTTTTTGGTAATGGGGCCGAGAGATAGAACATAGAATAATAGGCCTGGGAAGAACCTTGGGGGTCTTCTAGTCCAATGTCCTGCTCAAGCAAGAAAACTTATACTATTCTGGACAATTGATTGTCAAATCTCTTCTTGAAAACCTGCAGTTATGGCACACCCACAACTTCTGGAGGCAAGCTGTTCCACTGATTAATTGTTCTCAGTGATGGGCAATTTCTCCTTAAATTCTAGATTGGATCTCCCTTTGATACCTTTCCACTCATTACTTCTTGTTTTGCCTTCAGGTGCATTGGAAAATAAGTTGGCCCCTTCTTCTTTGTGGCAGCCCCTCAAATATTGGGACATTGCTATCATGTCACCCTTAGTCCTTCTCTTTGTTAGACTAGACATACCCAGTTCCTACAACTGTTCATTGCATGCTTTAGACTCTAAATCTCTTATCATCTTTATTGCTCTCCTCTGCACTCCTCTGCACTTTTTTT